ATTTAATAAAGGCTTGAATTTTTAAAGTTCCATATGTTAACAATTTTGATAATTTCAATGATGTTTGATCGAAGTTGCGATTTCTATATAATAGACATTTTTAAAAATTCTTAAAAGGTCGAAGATATCATAGTACCTACTTAATCAAATTTGCTAAAAATTTTTTAATTTAAATTCTATGGATTTATAGAATTTAAATAAAAAAATTTTCAGCGAATTTGGTCAAGTGGTTGTGGGAATATCTTCACTCAAAATTTTTAAAAAAATTGGGCACAGCTTCTATTTTGATAGGCGTTTTGACTTTACCCAAACTTTGAGCGAAGATATCTCCACAACCACCTGACCAAATTCGCCAAAATTTTTTTTATTTGAATTATATGAATCCATAGAATTCAAATAAAAAATTTTTAAGCGAATTTGGTCAAGTGGTTGTGGAGATATCTACGCTGGGGTGTTTGATCGACTAATTGTGACAAATATATGTATAGTCCTCTAATTAAACCAATTAGAACAGATTTTCAGTATGATTATATTGTTACACGAACGGATATCACTTTTTAATAGGAATTTACTATACGAAAGTGTTAAATCTTTAAAATCTAACTCCTCTTTCAGTATTAATTATTCGAGTTTAAAAATAATATAAAGTAGAGTAAAAAAGTGTGCTTTTTAATTTGTCGTGAGGATTTTTTTTTATACTTAAAATTCAATTTTTTTCTCTAGTATTCTGTATTTATTTATATAACTTAAAATAATGAATTTGTAAATAACTTGCGTTGTACCTTAAATATTAAAATTTTGGCATGAGCATTTAAAGTACTAGTTATAAGGCATTAATTGATGCAATTATCTTTTCAATTAATTAGAAAGTTAAAAACTAGATAGCAAAAGTTGCAAGCAAGCACGTGACATATTTAATAATGCTGATTGGATGAAAATCTTATGCTTAATAATAGTTGAATAGTTAAGAATTACATTGAATAAAATTATTTTATTTTATTTAGAAAATTGAACATTATTATGGCCCGTAGAGAGACATGTAATTTCTCGTCACTGTGTTTAGTTCTAAGTCATAGACATAAGATAGGTTTACCAAGAAAGAAGGATACTATATAGCATTAAGTATTACTTGTTTTACAGTACTACGCGTACAATCCACATACAAGTCAGAGCCACCAGATTTTAGTAGCATCTAAAATCTGATGGCTCTGATACAAATACAGTTTGAGAGTTTTATAGTAAAGGGATGTATTTTTTTACGATGCCTCTTTGTTATTGTAAAAATTTTTCTTTTGTTAAACGATTCTTTATGTTATATAAGTTAATATAAATTCCTAATAAATTACAAGCTAATGAGGTAATCGATTTTAGCTAAATTAAAAAAATACATGATATTTGATTTAAATATATAGTAGATTATTACGCTAAGATGAGATAATGTTTTCTAATATGATTTCATATCAACATCGGGTTTTATATCAATTCATTAATTTTTATATGTTCAATTGTCAATTTCTAGTTTGCGCAATTTTATGCCCAATTGTCCAATTAGTATATCTTTATTCCAATTGTTTAGCTCGTGCAATTTTATATCTTTAGTTATCAGTCTGTAATTATCATATCCAATCAACGATCTTTATGTCCAATTGTCTAATTTGCGTGATCCTTATGTCCAATTGTTCAAATCGCGAAGTTTTATGTCCAATTGTTTAAGTCACGAAGTTTTATGTCCAATTGTTCAAGTCACGAAGTTTTTATGTCCAATTATTTATTTCATGTAACTTTGTTTAAATGTCAGTTTTGTAATATAAAGTTTTACAATTTATTGTATGTTTCATAGATGATTTTATTATGATAAATTAAAAGTCATTTTAATTGTCTTTAAAATATTTTATTTATTATAAAAAAGTATTTAAATATTAAAAAAAAATAAATTTTATTCTCTTCAAAAAACCAGTACTAAAGAATTAAATAATAAAAACTCAAAAGTTGTTATATTTAATTACAATGCCAAAATATTCAAAAAAACATACTCAAATGATTCAACTAACAGCTAATCGCGAAGTGAATAAAAAATCAAAAAAGGTTATAGATATTCTTCAAAGTCTTGACGGAGATAATTTTGATAATGTTTTAAAATTAATATATAGTATTAGAAAAGAAGAAATATCAGAAACTCCTATAAGATCTAATGAACAACTCATTGAACCTATTCAAGGCTTAAGTAGTGATGAAAAAGAAGAAACATCAGAAACTCCTATAAGATCTAATGAACAACTTATTGAACTTATTCAAGGCTTAAGTAGTAATGAAAAAGAAGATGCAATAAAATTGCTAGAAAATATGAAATATCCACGAGGCAAGAATAAAGAAAAAATTATATCTCAATATTTGTAGCAGCAATTGGTCGAAGTAATTTCTAACACCCTTTATCGGCTACAAGCAAGCTATTCTGCTTTAAAAAAAGAGCATGATCATTTGCACTGTCAAAATAAAAAGTTAATTCAACAAAATAAAGTACTTATCACAAAAACACAATCACTTGGGTCTCAAAATCATCACTTTCAACAAAAAACGTCTCGTCAAATTTCTGAAATACGTTCTTAGTTTGTAGATCTAAAAAAATTTCTCCAGATAATTTTAAAAAGCAAATTAAAACTCTTTTTAAATCAAATGACAGACATTATTTCTCGGATATGATTTGGCTTACAACTAAATTGGCTCAAGTCGGACAGGTTTCAATGCGGGCAACTATAGAATGTACAAAATTAATATATGAGTTTTTAACAAGTGAATCACCAAAAAGTTGGCTTTCAATGGAACGAGTTACAACCTGGCATAAACAAATATCGGAATTGGCAGTGTCTAATTTAGTTAAACGTGTACAACAAACAAGTGCTTTTGGTATTTTTGCCGACGAATCAACCTGCGGTCAAGACAAGAATTTGATCATCTGTTTTATGTATTGGAATAAGGAACAAAATTACTCAATAGCAAGTATGATTAGTTTAAAAATTATAAAAAGATGCAATTCTAATACCATAGTGAATTCGGTTATTGAAACCTGTCAGAAATACCAACTTAATATACAAAAATGTATGACATGGCTTACCGACAATACTTCGTATTTGTCCAGAAACTTGAATGGAGCCATCGCTAAGTTTAATAGATTAACAAACTCTAATTCAACTAGAATTGGATGTACACTACATATCATTAATATTGTGTTTACTAATTTTGAAAAGGAAGCTTTTGGACATATGTCTGGTTTTTCAAAAAAATCATTCTTTCAATCTTCTTCATCTCGCCTGGCACCTTCACGACGGCTATGGAAATAAAAATAGTAATGCACCAATGAATATTAAATCTAAATATATTCAGGATCTCTATAAGTCTCTTGTAGGGTATTGTCACTCACAATATCAAATGCCACTTCAAACTCGTTGAGGGTATGAATTGCGTACGGCTGAACAATATTTAAAGAGAAAAGAATTACATCTTGAGTTTGCAGAATGGTTTATTAAAGCATTAAAGTCTTGTCCTAATATGGCACAGTCTTATTTAAATAATTGGCGTCTCTTCCATACCTAGCTCAATAATAAAAAACTTAATATTCAAATAAAATGCTTAACAGCATTTGGCCAACAGTTTTTTATTCCATTAATGACATTTCTTGTTGGTCAAGATCCTGTGCCACGAATTTTTAATGGCAAAAACTGGATAAATTTACCTCCTGGTTAACGTGTACATGAAATGCCTGACAAGGTCTTAGAATGGTTAGGTTTTCTAACAGAAGCCACAAATAATTTCAATGTATTCTTTTCTGAGGAGTTACTTGAGGCACTTGAATTATTAAGTGAATTAGAATTTGGTAAAATATTTGATTCATTAGAGAAAGGCATGAAAAAAGCAATTATACTTTTTGAAAAGTGGATGCTTCAATGGACAAAATTACCTTTATCAGTTTGTCGATTAGGAGGGAACTTTGCTCAGTCTTTTGCTAGAAGTTATCGTTATATTATTTTTAATATTCCAATAGTTTTTCCATCTGAACAAGAGACAATATATATAGAATAACTAAAAAATGATATTGAAAATAATATTTTAGAAGATTTTGGATTAAGAGAACTTTTCATTTCGGATTTAGCTTTTCGTGAACAATTTAATAATTTTTGTGATGCATTAAATCCTGGTTTATTTGATTATCCACTACTTTATGAATTCGTAACTACCAAGATTTATTATATAGTTGTACATCAGCAACAGGTTGAGGGCATGTTCAACAAGCTTGATTTAAAAACTCATCCTAACATGTTACCGGATCTTAAAGAATCCAAATTATATCTTTCTGGAATAAATTTTTCAAAAGATAATGTTAAAAATGATATTGTTAAAATTCGATGACATAATAAGAAAGAAAAAAAGAAACAAATGCGGAAGATTTTGAGGATTTCGGTACAGAACATGCATTAGCTACGTTTAATAAAATTTTTCAAAATTAACGTTAAAAGTTTTTTTTTTTTTTTATCCGATATGTATGATGATCAATATAAGAATAAATTAGCCAATCACATTGCTTAAAAATCTCAATTATACGGATTTTATATGGGACTACAAATATGTTTGATTTAGTATGTTGATTAAACACCCCAATATCTACGCTCAAAGTTTTAAAAAAATTGGCCGCAGCTTCTATTTTGATAGGCGTTTTGACTTTACTCAAACTTTGAGCGAAGGTCACCCCACAACCACTTGACCAAACTCACTGAAAATTTTTTTATTTAAATTCTATGAATCCATAGAATTCAAATAAAAAAATTTTCAGCGAATTTGGTCAAGTGGTTGTGGGGAGACTTTCGCTCAATGTTTTTAAAAAAAATTAGGTACAGTTTCTATTTTGATAGGCATTTTGACTTTATTCAAACTTTGAGCGAAGGTATCCTTACAACCACTTGACCAAATTCGCTTAAAATTTTTTTATTTGAATTCTATGAATCCATAGAATTCAAATAAAAAAAATTTTTAGCAAATTTGGTCAAGTGATTGTGGGGATATCTTCACTCAAAGTTTTTAAAAAAATTAGCGCAGCTTCTATTTTGATAGGCGTTTTGACTTTACTCAAACTTTAAGCGAAGGTTTCCCCACAGCTACTTAACCAAATTCGCCGAAAATTTTTTTATTTGAATTCTATGAATCCATGGAATTCGAATAAAAAATTTTTTACGAATTTGGTCAAGTGATTGTGGAGATATCTTCGCACAAAGTTTTTTAAAAAATTAGACGCAACTTCTATTTTGATAGGCATTTTGACTTTACTCAAACTTTGAGCAAAGGTATTCCCACAATTACTTGACCAATTCGCTGAAAATTTTTTTATTTGAATTCTATAAATCCATAGAATTCAAATAAAAAAG